TATCTTACATCTGTCATTGTGACCCTTCTCTGCTTGAATACCCCACCACCTACCCCCTTTTTCTGTCTCCATTATCTCTTTTCTTTACTCCCCAGGGTGCAGTCTGGAGCCTTCAGATCTAATGTGGATTCATTCATCTCCATTTTACCGTCACATAGGAGCTCAAAGAAAAGAGGTGAGGAGAAAATGGGCTTGGGGTAGTTTCACTGAGTCAGCAGGTCGGTGGAAGTGAGTATAAGATTTAATGTGGAGGGGGTGAGAGGGTACAGGTCTGTCGAAGTCTGCCAAATGTTTCAGTCTTTCACCCCCTCCTGAGTCCTACACACTGACAGAAGGAAACAAACTAGCTCGGGTTTCAGCTCTGGAAGTGGCCTGAATGTCAAGTGAGCAGCAAGAGATGAGGTTGAGGGGGGGGTGGCGGGCACTGAGGAAATATCAGTCTAACACTTTTTTAAAATGCAGAATAAAAATGTAAATCAGGATATCCACCCTGACGTCTCACTGCTGTGCATGCATGGCTAAACATCCATGCAAACAAGACAGACCACAAAGTTGTGAAGGTTTCTGTCTGTGGCCCCTCTGGCAAAGTACTTAATGACAAGAACAAAAACGAGTGACATTTAAAAGGCCTCTGCAGACAATACCACTTTTCCTTTTCAATTACATCAGGGTTGATGGGCAACAGATTGACATGACAATTATAAAGACGAGTGAATTTCTCCCTGGTGGTAAGACAGATATCTACGCCTCAGCTGACACCGAATAAACAAAGCAACACACCATCTAACTGTCAAAGTAGGTTCAGGAAGGGACCACCCATGCACCAATTCTGAAGACCCCAGTGCTGGTTTAACTCACCTTAAGCTGCTGCTCTTTGAGAAGAGTTTCAGACTTGTACATGTTGCCTCATTAGTAATTTGTGTAGCAGAAACTTCTGTTTTACATGCTACATATATGAGGAGTTAGGGAAACTGCCAAATATAGATTACACCCAGTTCCCAAAACATACACAGGGGAGAAGTGAAACCTTCACAGTGTGTCATAGGTGTAGTGGTCACATTGTTTTACCTGTACTTTTTATCTGATCTGCTTTGTGTGTGTGTACGTGTGTGTGGCACAACCACCTGTCTGTTTGATTTCCTTTCACAATACAAGTTTGGCCTGGTTAGTGGCACCTAGAGCTGCTGTTCACAGTGTCAGTTCAAGCCCTGACATCCGAGCCCCAAAAAGAAATACTTCCGAGGTGTTGCGGTCTCCCTTTCTTCAGACTTCCTTAGAAACATTTGAGCTCGATTTAGAATGGTTAAATTCAGTGTGTAATGCCTTAAATAGTTAATTAGAAAATACTAATTTAAACGTTTTCCCTTTTTTTTCTAACTCTTGTTCCGCAGAGAAACAGTCAGACGTTTCACCACAGTCAACTTCCTTCTTCCTGGTAGCGTTTGTTCATAAAAGCCTCATGTGGATGGGGTATGGGTCCTTACTGTACATGCACATTGGTACTTTTTCCTCTGCTTGCACAAAAAGAAGTGGCATTTCTGAAGAATCTCAACAACACTCTGCTGTTACAATGTAATGACACCGCCTCTGTTGGTGCCATGTTGGTAATGATGGGACTGTGATGATCATAATTTTCATGCAAACATCCCCAGAGTCTCTCTTTAAGAAAACAGTGAGGACTGTAATCAGTGATGATGTTTCACCAAAGGCATTCCACTTTTTGGAGTCCATCAACTGAATGTGGCGCTTTACTCATGGTGACTCACAAGGCCTAAACAATAAAGGTCCACCACACTCATTTCTGTTTATTCCTTTGTTTATGTGAATGTGAGCTCTCTTTTCCAGTCATTTAACCAACCAATATTCATCCACTCAAATACTTGATCAATGTCAATTTGATTCAGTTAAGCTCAAACTCAACATCAATAAAATTTCGATTCCCAAGTTATTAAACAGTTATGGGGAAGAATATCACTACGTGGCCTGCTTCAGAGGTTGAGAAACCTCTGTGACCTCACTAACTGAAAAAAATGTACCTTCCTGTTTGCAGAGAGAACAGGATGAGCATGATAAAATGTATGATGCGTGTTGTGCCTCATCTTTTATCTGTCATGGTACACGTCTCGACTTTTGTATCTCACTAATTCACAAACACTGTAAAAATAAAGTTTAAATTTAAAGTCCAAAATATTGGCTCTTGCCTTTAAAATGACTGTTGTTTGAATTTTGTTATAATGTTACTGCTGTGATTACTTAGTTCATTAATCAGCCCATTGATGGGCAGACAATTAATCAACTGCTAACAATTTTTTGATTTCATAAATTGATTAATCAATAAATTAACTGGCAGATTAATTTGTTAATGTTTTTAGTTGTAGCCCTAGTAACTTAATCACAACCTACAACATCCTGCTCTTCTTTTGCATGTAAATGAGGGTGCTGCCACAGTGCTGATGTCATTTTAAGATCTTCTGTTTAGGACAACAAAAAATAAACCGTGTGCATTCTCCAGTAGCAACAGCCACCTGCAGAGTTACAGCTCAACCACTCTGCCCTATAGAGGGAACTAAGATTAAAGCAACAAGTGTCTGGATTCCATTCAACCTGCAAGGGAAAAAAAGCCAGCATCTGGTTGTAATACATTATTCTGCACAAGCTCAGGCTCTGTTTTTTAAAAAAAAACTTGCACACAACGTTTTCCAGACTCAAGGTACACATGAAAGCCTGTAAAGTACCTCAAGGCCATGTTCGCTTTGCATGACTACCTGGGCTGCAGAATTTCTCGGTCAAGCATTGCAGAAGTAAAACTACACTGACAACACTGGGGAAAATGCAAAGAATGTGGGGCACTAGTGGTTTTGTCTGTGAACTTTGGACCAGGCAAATTACCGGAGAATTCAGGGAGTGCCCCCCCCTTGTTAATTTTCTTAGAATGGAAAACACATCCCTCACTCAATACTCTCCAGACCCCTTTGCTGCTTGGTAGAGGAGAAGGAACTCTAACTTAAGATGTCAGTTTTATTTTAAAAAAAACAAGTGCTCTACACTGAAAGAAGTGTGATCCGGTGCTGTGCAGGGTCAGTGATGGTCAATAAATAGGGTTATCTATTAAACTGAACAAACCATGTAAAAGATAGAATGGAAAAATGTGTCCCCTCCTGCAGGTTGAAATGTAAACTCCATGTAGTAACTCACACATGTCGCATAGACTCATGCACACTTGCACTGACACACAAGTACACACATATTCAGTCACTATGCTGTGAATCCTTCAACAACAAGCCAGTGCCTCTGTTCACCTCTGTTTGTCAGAACACAGACAGCAGAATGATTTCCCAGCGAATCATTTCCACAACAAAATAACAACATAGAACACTGAAACAAAACCCTGACAGCAGGAATTCCAACCCACCCGCTCATTATCAAGTCGTAAAAATAGTTTGACACACTCCTGTAATCTTCACCGTTTCCAATGCGGCAGTTCACAGTTTGTGGAAGTATAGTGGAAATGACCACTGACACAGCAGAACGGTTTGATAAGAGCTAATACAATGTCAATGTAAGTTGGGTTTAGAAAACAAGAAGTGACATCATAGCACAGGAATGAATTGCAGTAAGGTCATTCGGCTCCTGCTTTGTCTTCTAGTGTTGCTCACAAACAGTGGTATGCCCTGGTTGCCTGATGAATAAAATCAAACATTAATAAGGTGGTGACCCTGATTTGTGATATTTATGGAGGATTCATTTGTTAATGCAAATAGTCAAGTGTGAATGAAATTAAAAAGATGGGGGGAAATGGTTACTGGTTTCAGTTAGTTGCACCATTTCAATCTTTGATTACACTAATTACCATTGAGATTTGATTGTTAATAAGTAGCAGTTGGAAGTGTTAGTGACATCATTATTGCTACTTGTCTGAAGTTCGGTAAGTAATTGTCTTTAAGTCTGGAGCCAGTAAGTCTAATTTGCTGTCTTTTGCATTATCATATTCTTGAATGACTTCTGATAGTCTAAAATGTTAATGTTGAACAATCGACAAAGTGTTACACGCTTCTATATTGATTTTATTTTGAATAAGTATGAACATTACCCCATTACCATGAAAATACTCCGAAATGTGATCTTTTTGGTCACTATACTCGTGATACAAAATGTTCACACCGCTTAATCTCTGTAATGACATGTCCAATTTCTCTTATGGTGTTTATTGACAGGTTGTACTGAACTACAGAAGTAAAATCAGGGAAGTTGGAGAACTCAATGTTAGAACAGGGCAATTTGGAAACACATGTAATAAAGATTTTTAAAAAGTTCCTTCCAGTCAATATCAATAATTATCACGATAAACGTCAAGTCATCCTTTGTTGACAAGCTCCAGCTAAAAAACGAAATATTTACATATCTGAGGTATAACATTAAAGCCAATTAGGTGCCATGTCTCCTCACCATGTTGTGCAGGTCATAAACAATATATTGATATGTACTGAACTTGTTATATCGCTATTGATGAAAATCATAGGCTTTTCCACCTCCTCCGATGGCAGTGACGATACAACCTGTGAGATGCAGCAGCTTGTTACACGTTTCCCAGACGCTTGCAGACGACAAGTGTCACCACAACACGAACACACAACCGGAGCAGCACGGTGTGAGGGGGTGTGCGTTTGTGTGCAGAGCGTGGCGTAAAATGGATGTGGAGCTAGCTGCGTGTGTTTCTGGACGCCCCTGTCTTGCTAACAACGCAATGTTACACAGATATTAAGTGAATATCAACACACATACGTTAGAGAAACACACACAACACACACACACACACGCTCTGGCTATCACCGCTACAAATTAGCCCCCTGTCGGATAACATGAACATCCACAGAGCGGCGCAGAGCAAACCGTCGTTTTAGCGGCGAATGAAAAGAAAAATGGAGCCGCTGCGTCCTCCACACACGCCCGTTAGCTTCACCCGTGTCCGCGTACACGTCTGGTTCGAGTGCAGGACTCACCCATAGCTCCGACCCCCAGCTCATGGTTCCAGTGCGGTGTCCCCGGAATAATCCACAGCTCGAGGTACGAGGTGTTTTCAGTTCCCACGCACCCACACGCACGCACACGGACCCGATTTGTGCCTCTGCGGTGTCTGTCAGCGGGAGAGAAGAAACAAACCCCCGCTTCTTCTTCTCCTTCTCCTTCTTCTTCTTTAGCTCACAGCTAATTTAGTTTCTTCAGAGTCTCATCCTGTCTGATACAAGATGGCCAAGAGCTGCGGTATAATCTCCACACGGGGGGAGTCTCTATATGCTGCTCTACTGGGCGCGCGCACCCGCCTCTCAAACCCAGACAGCTGCTAATGCGCGCGCACAGGCTGGAAAAGGAAAGGTTGTTAGATGATGATGGTGATGATGGTGATGGTGATGGTGATGGTGGTGATGATGGTGGTGGGTCCCTGCAGGGTTGAGCTGTAAAGTCTTCACTAATATCTCAGCTCTGTCTCTTTCTCAGTTTGGCTGCTGGAACACAGAGCAGCGGAGGGTGGGTCTCAAAGGTCACTACCCGTGGCAGATGTTTCATTGAGCAAGCCCCCAGAGGGGGTCCGACTCACAAACAACCACTTTCTCTTTTTTTGTCCTCATTTCTCTTTCTATCTATCAATAATAATAACTTTATTTATAGAGTCCTCTTCAGCACAGGAAAACACATGGTTTGTGCAACACAACACTGAACAATTGGTTGGAATACAGAAGGGCATAAATCGGAAAGGTAATAAAAGACCAAAATAACCTGGCACCCCAAGTAAATTCGGGAATATAACTTCCCAAAAAGGTAGCTGAGATCTAAAAAAAGACACAATCTCACTTATTTATTATTTTAACATTCAACATTCATCATTTTATTTCATTCCAGGGCCCTCATGGCAAACCCTTGCTCCACATGTATTCGATGACATTTCATTGAAATGTTTCCCCTCCCTCTCTGTGTCTCTGTGGTCATGCAGGCAAAAACACACCATAGAGTCACTTGGCACTTGCCCACAAACACACACAACAGCCACAAGGTTCCACTCAGCACACAGGATGTTGCATTAGAAAGTACAGAGTTTAGAAACCTTCATGCACCAAGAATCTGAAGAGAATCTAAGGTTGAGCAGAGCTGGTAGTGAAACAGCACAGATCTCTTACTGTCTGTTCCTTTTTATTTAAAAGGTAATATGGGCCACCCATCATTCCCAGAATTAATATATTGTAAATATTCTGTGCACTTCTTTAAAAGAAAGAGTCTTTGCCTTCTTGTATCGCTCCATCTTGTTTCTGTTGATAATCTCTCCTGATAGGACAAGGACATCTAATTAAGTTCCATTGCAAGGAGTTGCTGTATCTTCAAACATTACTCAATTATTACCTCAGTTGAGGTAAATAAATAGTCTTGGTTATCATACTTGCTGATTTTAAAAAAACATTATACTATCAAAAACTAGACAATCATGTGGCCTTGGCCGAGGTATCCACTGAGTGCCACTCTTGTAGATTCCTTTGTAGATTCCTCAGATGCTGCAAATATTCAGAAAGCTGCAGATATATTATTTATACCAAACAGAAGACATTTTGGTCTCTCACAGTGGGAATATCACATGTTTATGTGAAGAAGTCAGTGCTACAGTGTCTGCTGTCATGGCTCAAACAGCATTGAGTCTGTGTTAATGTTATTGGTGACACCAGCTGGTGTCTGCTGTGAAAAACACCTTTTAAGTCAGATACCTCCATGTACTGTGTTTATATTTCTCAACACGTGATCTAGACATGATACATCCACCTCAGTTGTAATCACCATGGCCACCATCTTTACTGTGATGGGTTATGATCAGTGCTATGGCCAGTATTAGTACAACAACAACACCATCTAGTGGTTAGATGTGTACAAACACATCATGGGGAGCAATAAATGTTAGAGAAATAATGTTTTTTTTTTATGAATAAATATTTAGTTAATATTTGGATCAAGATGCTCAAACATAACTAACATGTCATAAGAGGTGATGGTGCATGTGTAATTTGAATGCTTTCTTTATAGTTCAGTTTAGTGCTTTATTGTCCCACAAGTCGAAATTCAGTTTGCAGCAGAGCACAGATAAAATAATTTCAACAATAACACATAAAACATTAAAACCAATATAATAATAACAAAATCAATAAAATACGTTTTTTTTTTGTTTAGGTACAACAATCTTTATTTTGTATATGTATTTGTGTATGTAATAAAATGCTGTGTTTTTTCTTTTTCAGGTGTACCAGATCCAGGGCCCTGGAGCTGAGTGTGGCTCACTGATCAGAGCCACAATTAACTTCATTACTCACATAAGTGTTTTCTTCATGCTGTGATAAATGAAGACCTTGGCTGTGAGAAAGTTTGCAGTGAAAACACACAAGCCTCTAGACGTATCCAGGATTTAAACTGGATACTGTAGCAGTGGTGGCACATGCTGTGCTTTGACCCTGAGGGCCCCCGCACTTAGCTGTTATTTTGCTTAATTAATTGTTTGATTTTAGGTGCAGCATCCTTGTATGGGCACACATTGAAATACACACAGAACACAACTGAATAATAAACAACTACACAACTTTAGTTGAATATTACACAAATGAAGTGGAAAGTAAGTTGATCTGTTTACCCACTACCTGACTCACTACCTGCATCAGCTGACCTCATCAGGACGTATTATAAAAAAGAGGAAGTGCTCCTTTTCCCTCCAGGGGCCTTTTGACCGTTGGGGTGTGTTTTTTTCAAGCTTAAATGTTAAGAGGGAGTGTGATTGTTCTTTTTACGTTTGGCATAAACCTTTAATGAACAGTGTCTTTTTGCATTTATTTACATCAAATTATGTTAACTTCCTGCTGACCACTTCCCAAAGTGAACCATAGACTTTTGATAGTTTTAAATATTTTTTGTATGCTGGCTCAACTAATCTGAACAGAGTCATTGTTGATCACTAACATCTGTGCTTTTGCTATGTAGTTAGCTATGTAGTCCTTATTATGCTTCTTTAATTTCTGCTATAGGCACACTGAATGACAATGCACTATGCAAATGAAAAACGTCTGCTGTGACAAAGGCCTATTAAACAATTTGTTCCTATATGACCTACCCTGAATAATGGGATTTACTCTGTGAAAAGGAGAAGAATTAACTTATTCAGATGTTCACTTCTGCTGGAAATGAGCGCCTTGAGTGTATATGCATGTGCAGAGCATGTACAACCAAAGAAGTCATGAGATTATCAGCCTAATCAAGACACATTAATATGTAAAGTATATGTTGCAGCTGTATATGCATTTATAATTAGGATTTAAGTGAACACTTAAAAAAAAGGAATTTTACTCTCTTTTAACTGGTGATTATTTAAATCATAGGCACATTACAGTATTACTGAAAATACATATTGTGTATTAGATTTTTCTGCTGTCTTGGTGTCAGTTCAGGTATTTGGGAGTCATTGTTAGACCAACTTGTTTTGTTGACATTTCTTGGTTTGTGCTGTCATAGAACAGAAACATCAGGACTTTTGATATAAAAATAAAATTCAACCAACAGGGGGTGCTCAAAGATCTTCCTCCGCATTCAACTAGTGTGGAAACACAAAACCACCAACTACTGAAATTGAGTATTTCGAGATGTTAAGAAATCTGAATAAACAGCTCCTCTGAGAGCAGGAGGGTCAGTGGCTCTTAGTCACATTATAAGATTTTGTCATTTCAACAGCTTTCACCACCTGCTTCCGATGTTTGACATCATTGTCTTGGCTCTTCCTCTGATCCGACACACCATCAGGTTACTTCTCTACTCATCCAACTGAACAGGTCTAATAAAAAATCACCTAAGTAAAGGTTTCTGATACCATGAACATTTGTGAATCCTCATATAATGTTCATGTTAAACAGATGTATGTCTCACACACATGTCCTATCACAACAAGCCATGTTAATTAATAAACCTGTTTCTCTTAATGACTCACAAGGTGCCTCTGGGGCACCCTCTGTTGGAGGTCTACTGGCAACGCATAATCAGGAGGAGACCCAGGGGTGGACAGAAACTTGTTGGAGGGACAGGATCTGGCCTGTGAACACCTCAGGATCCCACAAGCGTGTCAGAGTAGAGGGATGACTGGGACACTCTGCTAGGCCAGCAACCTGAACTCACATGAGTGGAAGATGGATAGATGGATGGACAGATGTTTCTCAAGGTTTCTCGGGAGTTTCCTGCATGGGCACTGAAGGCTGCTGAGTTCTCCAAACAGCTGTTGGGTTTTTACACTCTTTTTGATGATGAGAACCTGAATGTGACACCCAACCACAACAGCTGGATCCTTCCCCAGATGTTTCATTCCACATTTAGAACACCAGCTTTCCAGCAAGCAGTGCACCCTCAGTTTCACCCGGATTCAGAAGTTTTAGTTGAATCAGTCCTTGGATGTGAAGCTGTGCCTCTTCAACTGTCTCAGGTATAGCTTATTCCTGAAAAGCCTCTCAAAAAAATCTTTCATCTACGGAACAAAATCACTGAGTTCTGCAAACTGAGAAAAGCATTTATCTCTGCATCCCCGTTGTGATTCCCCTGTAGAACACCTTCCCCTCTGCCAGGAAGAGATGAATCAGCACTTACTTCACAGTGTTGTCAGGAACGGGGGGGAGGTTAGTTTTAGCAGGTAAACTGCACATTTACATCTCATTAATGGACACCCAGAGGTATATGTGATAATGACTGCAGAGAGGGGAAGTCTTGCTGCAGAAATGCTGGTGATAAATATCAATGGTAGACACAAATGTAGAGTTAACAGTTCAATCTGATATATCTCCTTAATTTCTTCAGGATACTTTTACAGAACGTCCTAGTTCCTCTAGCGAGTTTCCAGCTTTTGCGGGTTAGTAGTTTAGTGCTAAAGTGCAAGCAGAAGTGAATGCAGGCTTGCTTAAGTGCAAGCAGGTGTGACGACAGATTCCATTTATGAGTCATATTTTGGTTTAATCTTTAAACCAGCTCGTTGTTGCTACATCAGGTGAACGTATCACAATGATCTATATATATAAATAAATATAAAACATAAAGCACGGAAATAGAAGATACATGTCATACATTTTTCCACAAAAATCACCACCATCATTGACACAAACAAATATATCACAACCACATGTATCATAATCTTCATCTCCAACAATAAGACAAGCACACAGGTGACTACCATGATCGTTGGTTTGATATAATATATATAAGTGTATCAGTGTAGCAAGTTTCCTTCTTGTTACATGTCCATAGAATCTGGTTTCAGTA